AACAGCGGTGTGCAGGAAGGCTAGTCCTGCAGCGGCTGATCGTGCGAACCGTAGACCGCCGGCCAGGGAGACCTTGTTGACCCGCAGGTAGTCATGCAGTGAGCCTTTTCGGTGGTAGGCTGTGATGAGCCATAGCTGAGTGCATCCTCCGCGTGAGATCATATCACTGGCATAATAGGCCAGGAGGTTGGGGTGTCGTAACATTGACGTACTGTAGATTTCTGTTTCACGCGCCCAACTGGCACCATCTCGACTGGAGAAGATTTTGACAGCCACCTTTTCGCCCTGACAATCCGCCTGCCATACCTCGCCGAATCGTCCCTTGCCGATGCAGTCAGTGAGAAGGGTTCTTCGGGCGATAGTTTGTCGCACTAGAAAGGGCACTCCACCCCCACTTCCACTATCTGCACTTAACGTGCCATCAAATGTTTGTTGTGGATAAGCACCTAGGACCTGGAAGTCTCCGTCAGCTGGAAAAATTGTGCCGCATAATCTCTTATCAGTGATGGAATTTCCGCTTGGCGTGCGCGGAGGCTTTGAAAAATCACCTCGGTGCCGGATTGGGCGCAGTAAGAAATGCACTAACAGTCCAAAAACAACGATCGTCAACCCAACAGCAACCACGGGCAGTAATATGCTGATGCAATAGCTACTAATACCACCGCGCCATGGATAGAGCGCTTTGTCGTGCAACCGCAGATGGGCATTGCAAAATGCCTGGTTTGGAGAAAAGCAACACTTGACAATCATGTTTTCCGGTATGGGAGCCGTGCAAAGCATTTTCCCCAGGCTGGTATCGTTGGAAAGGCAGCCAAATTGTTCATTGTACACAGTATTTTTTCCAGGAGTTCGAAGGGCTGAATAAAAGCAGCCGAGGTCGGAGGAACATTGGGATCGCCCTTCTGCACAGTGGTCAGCAGGGGAGCAGAAACATGTAAGGGAGCCACCAGCCTTCTGCATCACTGACTCTTATGCGTGAAGACAATTTGGTCAAATGTACCCGCGATTGTCATGGCAAAAAAACTGCCTGTATACAAAAAATATTGATTAGATCCAAAGAGTTTTCAGTCAAAATAAATTCAACTAGAATTTACGTGAAGTTAGTCAATGATTCAGAATCCACCTAAGGAAGATAGTGAACGTTGAAGAAAGAAGGAGGGCATACTTGGAAAGTGTGATTAAGGAAAGTCCTTATCGCTGATTTGCTGCTACATCGATTCAGATTAGGTAGGAATTTAAAAAATGTTGGAAAATTCGCACAGTGAGGTAAATGTAAAAATATTCCCAAATAAGTTAAGGGATGAGGTAGTCTACACAGCCCGAAATACAGAAGTGAATCCGTAGCTTGAAGCTACCATAGCCTCCACATATAGCTTAACCCTATAATAAACTCATTTAAAGACGTTCCACAGCTGGCTATTTCGGTTTTGAAATAAAACAAATGAAACCTCATCGTGACAAAAAGCGAAATCTAAGACACCCTTTCCCGACTTCTGTTTTGTGTGAAGTAAGAGTCCCTACATAAAGATTGATTGTCCAATACTCTCAGCCAATGCGCTCACTTTTACGGTACCTGGACATGGTTCTTTAGTAAAGAGAAGTTGCGATACATGTGTCTTGAAAGTTTGCTTAATTACTGACAAAATCAGGATCAGGTCATGACTGCGACCACCCCACAACTCAGAGAGTAATTGACCTAACAACTTGCAACAAAGTATCGGGTCATTAGAATGCATTCACAGACTGAGCAGTACAATAAAGCTCGGGGGCTACGGGATGCGAGAAACCGGCAACACTAGTTCTGCGAAATTAGGTTGTTGCTGCCCAAATCGCACGCGATTCGCATATGTATTCATTTCATCTTTGTAGAAACACCTCAAAGAAATTCTACAATCACCGGAGAAAATCGCAATCCGAAAGTCCTTTCAGTTTAGTTCGGTTT